TTAAACCCCCCCACGCCGCCCCCGTAACGAGGTCTTTCCGTCTCTTCCCCACCCCCCGCCCTTTTTCTGGCAAAAACCAGCAGCTTTGGGGCTTCCCCGCGTGGGATGATGTCGTTACGCTCCCAGATGGCAGCTCTTTTTTGGGGGGGGCAGAAAAAATAGCTCTTCTTGGCACAAGGCTGGGAAATCGCTTCCCCGTCCGCATCCAAACCTCCCCAAATTCACCTTAAATCCCCCCAAAATAATTCCAAGCCCTTGATGGAAATGGGTGAAACGCCCCCCCTGCCTTTCCCAAATGTACAATTTTGGGGGAAATAAAGTGAAAAATTCCCTGTTTCTTTAATATTTCTGCCTCGTCACCCACCCCAAGGCCTCGATTTGCTCCGTGCCGCTTCCCCTAATGAGCTCTGACTAATTACTGGCCAGGTGAGTTAATTGAGAATGGGATTGAAGTGCTTTTTTTTTCCTCTTCCTCCGGCGCAGGCCATGATGGAGCAGTCCAAGAAATCCTCGTTAGTGGTTGCCAGGAGCATCCTCAACAACAAATTAATTAGTAAGAAACTGGAGCGGTACCTGAAGGTAGGAATTTCCGGAGCGGGGGGGTGGGAGAAACACTTCCAGGAGTTGGGAATTCCCCAGGGGCTGCCCTTGGCTACGGAGGGTGAAATTCCAGGCAATTTTGGGGCTGTTTGGAGAAAACGTCTGATTCCTGGTTGCTGATAATAATGAAATGGGTGTCAGAGTTGGGAGGGGACCTTAAAGCCCCCCCAGTTCCATCCAGGGACACCTCCCACCAGCCCAGGTTGCTCCAAGCCCCCTCCAACCTTGGCCTTGAACCCTTCCAGGGATGGGGCAGCCACAGCTTCTCGGGGCAACCTGGACCAGGCTCTCACCACCCTCAGAGTCAACAATTTCTCCCTAAATCACACCTTTTTCAGCTTAAAACCCTCCCCCCTGGTCCCATGGCTCCCCTCCCTCATCCCTGCTCCCTCCCCAGCTTTCCTGGAGCCCCTTGAGGGACTGGAAGGAGCTCCTGGGTGAACTCCCCCAACTCTCTCAGCCCCCCCTCCCAGCAGAGGGGCTCCAGCATCTCCGGGGCCTCCTCCGGCCCCGCTCCGACACCTCCGTGTCCTTCTGATGGCCCCAGAGACAGGGGACAATCCTTCTCCTCAGGGCTGGGCTCCAGCCCTTCATCCCCCAGCCTGGATTTGGGCTGGGATTGCCCCAACCCCACGGACAGGACCTTGCTCTTGGCCTGGTTGAACCTCAGGAGGTTCTCAGGGGTCCCACCTCCAGCCTGGCCAGGTCCAGGATGGAGTTGCTGGTGGCTTTCTGGGCCACCTTCTCACCCCCAAGTCCTTCTCCTCAGGGCTGGGCTCCATCCCTTCCATCCCCCAGCCTGGGTTTGGGCTGGGATTGCCCCAACCCCACGGACAGGACCTTGCTCTTGGCCTGGTTGAACCTCAGGAGGTTCTCAGGGGTCCCACCTCCAGCCTGGCCAGGTCCAGGATGGAATCCCACCCCTCTCCACACCTCGGTGTCATCTTCAGACGGGTTTATCGGTGCCAATGGCTTCCTCCATCATCTCCTGCCCCCGCCCAACAGCACGAGCGAGGTCTCCAGCTTAAATTTTGGCCCCGTTGCTGCTAAAATTAGCTTTGATTTGAATTTTCTAGGAGTCATTTGCTTTTTCAGGAGCCACTTTTGGTGGGATCATGACGCTCGATTTCTTGGGAGGGGTTTTTCCCTCCTGGAGCCGGCGTGAATCCCTCGAAGCTCCCGGAGATAAATTCGTAGCAGAGAAATAATTGTCTCTTCTCTTTGTTTTTATTTTTCAGGGGGAGAATCCTTTCACGGATGATCCAGAAGAAAAAGAGGAGCACGAGGAAGGAGAAGGTGGAGCCGGCGGAAACGTAGAGGAAGGAACAACAGAAAATAAGGATGAGGAGGAAAACGCGGAGGAAGAGAATCCGGAGGAGGAAAACTTGGAAGAAGAAAATCCAGAGGAGGGAAATCTCGAGGAGGGAAACAAGGATCCCGAAGAGAAGCTGGAAGGAGCTGGAAAAGAGGGAGGAGGAGAAAAAAGGGGGACAGAGATGGAAATTGGGGCTCAGGCACAAGCACAAGCGGAGGAGCCGGACGCGGGGAAGAGGGAGGAGCAGAATTCCCCGTCCGCGGAGGAACCGGAGCCACAGCCTGGAGAAGGCGTGGGGGAGGAGGAGGAGGAGGAGGAGGAAGAAAGCGAGGAAGCTGCTGCAGCACAAGAGGAGGAGGAGGAGGCAGCTGAGTAAACTCTGGATGCGGGGAAAGGGCCGCGTAAAAGACTTTTGACGTATTTTGGGGTTGTTTTTTTGGTTTTTTAAGAAAAAAAAACCACCCGTAACCGTTATCTGTGAATTTCATAGCACATATTTTTAAGTTCTCATTCTACTAAACTCACGTAGGCAGCGGAAGCCTTGACCTTGTAAAGTGAATTATTATTTTTTTGGGGGGGGTGGGGAAATGGGTGGTTGGTTGGTAAAGACTTTTGACGTATTTTGGGGTTGTTTTTTTGGTTTTTTAAGAAAAAAAAACCACCCGTAACCGTTATCTGTGAATTTCATAGCACATATTTTTAAGTTCTCATTCTACTAAACTCACGTAGGCAGCGGAAGCCTTGACCTTGTAAAGTGAATTATTATTTTTTTGGGGGGGGGGGGGAAATGGGTGGTTGGTTGGTTGGCTTTTTTTTTTTTTTTACCAAATCCTTCATTTTTTTAGTAGCTAGTTTTTGTGCAGTCTCTCGTTTTTTTGTTTTTTTGTTTTTTTTTTTTTAGATGGCTTTGTAGTAGGAGAATTTCCTTCGGAGCATGTGTGTGAACCAGGGCTTCCCCAGCAGGGAAAAGAAAACTTCTTTTTTTTTAATTCCCCTGGAATTGAAAGTTTGGCATTTGTTTGGTTGTTTGGGTTTTTTTTCTATATTTAAGAAAGATGTGGTTTGTCCCCGTAGTTTTGTCTGTTCCTAAAAACATCCAAAAAATTCGATTCTGGCCCTTTTTTTTTTTTTTTTTAAATTTTCTGCCCTTAAAAGTTTTTCTGCATTCATTTCCACGTGACTGTGATATCCTCCCCCACCCCCGTGTTTTATTCTTCCCTTTAACGCGGAGCGAAAACTCGAGTGGTGTCGGCGTTTTGTCTTGTTTGTAAGAAAAAAAAAAAAAACACCTAATAATAACAAAACCATTTTCATTTTCAAGGTGAATGTTTTGGTGGGTGGAGATAAAAAAAAAAAAGGATGATCTTGAGATTATCCTGTGATTTTTGCCTTAATTTCTGCTGCTTGGGAAAGGTCAGAGGCTGAAATTCTGGCTCCAAACCCTCCGTCTCCGTGCTCTGCTTTTGGGAATTTAGGGCTCGGCTCCGCTTTTCCTCCCTCTGGTGCCAATTTGTGAGCAATTAAACACTTAATTTAAGCTGTCGGGGGGGTTTAATTGTCACCGGGAGAGTGGATTTTTCCTTCCTGAAATGAGGGGAAATGAGTAAGGAAATGAGGAAATTGGTTTCCAGGGGTTATTCCCGCTGCGGCCGGGAGCTTCCCTGCGGATGGGTCGATGGATGAGGACACACGTGGCCTTCAATCGCCGGAGCGACACCAAACCCCGTCTGAAAAACCCTCCAAATGGTTGGGAATTCTTCAGAGGAGAGACTTCAGAGGGAGATTGAAGGATTAAGGTGAAGACAAAGTGCTGAGTCAGCTCCTGATCTCAAACCCTTTCCTCCAGCGCCGCTCCCGGATGCCGTGCCCGGAAAATCTGGGAAATGGATCCGTGAGAGGGAAGATTTCGCCTTCTCCATGTGAGGGACATCTATTATCCGTGAAAAACACCATTTTTGGGTCCCAAAATGTTTATCCTCACCTTCCTGAGCCATGGATCCCTTCTCCTGCAGACAAGACACGTGTCCTGGGATGGTTTTCCTCGCCTTCCCGTGCTGGGAACCCCTTTTCCCACAGACGGATGTCTCAACCTCCTCCTGGAAAATTAATTCCTAAACCTAATTAATACTCTGAGTCACTAAATGGTTCAGGGGCACTCTAATGAATGTGGCTCGTTACCTCTCGCTCTGTCTCAAGGTTGACCCTGTGAGTTTTTGGGTGTCGAGGGAGTTGTCAGCCAATTGATCCCGCCTTTTTCCTTAGATTTAATTAGATATTTACCAGTTTTGGGGTTCTTTCATGGGGGTGGGCGTTTGTACCTTAAATATTGGATCCTGGAAGGGGGGAGGTCCCTGTCCATTGGCCATTTTTAAAAATGGACAAAATCCACTTTTATTTGTAATCCAGTGAGTTACACCTTCCTCAAATTTTCCCCCT